ACAGCTTTATGTAGTTGTTCTGGTGAGTATAATCATTATATGCATTTTCAGAAAGAGGCAGTGTTTACATTGCCCCTAGGTACACCTCCAAGTCTCCACTCCTCCGATGGCCACTGGAAGTGCTTCCTGGAGCAGTGCTGCATAGTAGGCAGCACTGCCGTTCAGCGTCTTACGCTGTGCATGGGGATGCTGAATTTTCCGCAGAGATGCATTGATTCAATGCATCTTTATGAGGAGATGCTGATTGGCCAAAACAGTGTTTGACCCCGCCCCCTTGCCGATTTTAGCCGATCCAATGCTTTCTCCATGGGAAAGTATTGGCTTGGCAAAAAAGGGGGCAGGGCCAGTACGGTGGACCCGTGAAGAGCTGAAAATAAGGTGAGTTTTAACCCTTTCTGAGAGGGCTACCTAAATGGTGGATTTAGCCCTATATTGTGTTTTTTTGTTATTTTTATTAGGACATATTGTAAGGAATTTTCTTCTATCAACTGTATGTAATTATATACTTTCTTCATTACCTTTTGTATAACTTCAGCGCGGTCCTTCACCACCACCACTGTTTTTCTCTGTTTGTTGTTGACAGTGTTGTGGGGATTCCTTGTAGGTGGCTTTCTGCTCATTTATAGACAGAGTGCGCCACACACATAACTTTGTTCATTTCAAACTTTAAGAAGTGCTAAGAAAAAAGTCAAGAAAGCCTTCTTAATCATAAAAGGTTTTTATTTTACCAAGTAAGAGAACACACTTTTAACATACTAAACTCTCAGTGCAAGCGACTCCGAAGAGAAAGGGGCTGTTATATGACATTTTTAGGGTGTCGTGTAACAAAGGAAGGAAAAAGGACAGTTACAGAAATATATAAAAATGGAATCTGCGGCTATACGCCTTCAGACAGGAAAAATATATTTGAGTAATAATATTACAATGCAAAGAATGGACCTTCCACAGGTATGTATTATTATTATTATTATTTTATTATTTATATAGCGCCATCAGATTCCATAGCGCAGTACAATGGGTAGACTAACACATGTAATTGTAACCAGACAACTGGACGTACAGAGAGGTGGAGGGCCCTGCTCAATGAGCTTACATTCTAGAGGGAGTGGGGTATAGTGACACAAAGGGTTAAAGTAAGGGGACGAAATAGGTTGTTGGAAAAATATTCACTGAGGGCTTAGTAGGTAATTTTTGACAGTTGTAGGTGAGGAGTCATGGGGGGTGGGGGATAAAAACTTGCTAACAGTTTAATTGATATGCTTTCTTGAAGAAGTGAGTTTTCTATGATTTTTTGAATGAGTGGAGACTGGGTGAAAGTCTTACAGAGAAGGGAAGAGTATTCCACAGAAGAGGTGCAGCCCTGGAAAAATCTTGGAGGCGAGCATTAGAGGTGGGAGTACGGACAGAGGATATAGATAGGTCTTTGGCAGAGCGTAGGGGCCTCGAGTATTCACTAAATGTTTATGTCAAAACAGTTGGAAATGAAATATTCTCACTGCATCTCATCTTTTTGAAAACAAAACCGTATGATACCTGTTTACAAAGGAGAATGAAACCGCAAGTATTTGTCATTATTTTCAAGTGAATGAACCAGAGTGAACGGACGTACCGTGCATACGCTTATTCTAAAGGTTCAGAGGAGGAATTACTCAGCAGACACACAAGCTCAGTAATTCTCCAATGAAGTGAATTAACTCCCCGAGACGTGCTTGATTTTTTTTTTTAATTAAAGGGACACTCCAAGCACCATAATCACTACAGCAGGCTGAGTGTATTGTAAGGAATTGTAAGGAATCAAAATATTTTGAACGGTATGAATTCTTGTCTGGGGTCTACCGGGCACTGCTCCCCGCCTACACCACCATCTCCTGAGACCTGGAAGATACCCAGCAGGACATTCTGACAGCTCTACTTTGTATCCATTATATCTTCCTGTCTGTAATTTATTTAGGATGGAGCTATAAAGCCACCCCATTTGTATATTTGCACAAGAACCAGCTATTTTATATATACTTACCTTTGACATCTTCTTCTACTTGTTACAGGCCAAAAAAGAAATTCAATCACCACAAGCCACCTGAAAGGTAAATAAGAATGATAATTTTATTTTTTTTTAAATTTTTTTATTTATTTATTTTTTTAAAATTCTTTATTTTTGTTGGGCAGGTGGTTACAGGGTATCAACAGACGCCACAACAGCATATTTCAAGCTTCACGAAAGTTACAGGGGCATGATAATTTGCACAATTTTTATATTAGGTTAACTAATCAGTTATTTCATCAGAGTGGGATTAACTAGAATAAAATAACGATGCTAGTTGCTAAACATTCCAAAATATTAATAACAAGTTTTGCGTAATCATAGTGAAAGTAAACAGAATTAATACAAGCTAGTGATGTGGTCTCAGTGGTTAGACTGAGCTTCAAATAGCTGGTCAGGCATTCAGACTGGGCTTGTAGAACAAGTTAGGAAAAATAGTAGGAGCTACTGGCTGGTAATGTTAGTGTGGTGGAGCGGATTGCGTACGACTGCCTATCTCTCACAACATGTGGCTCAGATGCATTGGTATGCGGACAGTCATGGTTCCAGTGCCCCCTAAGTGGGGCCGTGGTAGGTGGGACTCGAATGTGTATATTGCTTATATCTAAATAGATAACATTTAACAGTGTATTTATGTGTATCTTTGGCAATTGAGCCTCAGTTAGCGAGCTAGAGCCTGCAGTAATACACTATAACTAAGAGGCGTCTACATTTGCCTGGGTTATAACTATAACGTTTATCTGACGCGTGAGGTGGACAATATAGGCTGGGGGATGTTCGTGGGTGGGCAACAAAATGATAAAGAGCAGACCCGTAAGGTCCCCTGGGGTCCCCCAGGCTCGAGTCCTTCTTTGGGCTGACCGGCATAGAGATGAGTTGTCCCGGTTTCACGGCATGGTGTAGTGTGCTGTGGTCGGTGTCCTGGTCGTGAGCCCAGGTAAGCAGTTTGCTTTGAAGCCTTCAACCTATGCCTCGTTGGGACTGTGCTGGTCCCTGCCACGGGTGCCCCTGCTGTCGCATTTCCCAGCGGTGAGGCTGAGGGCATGGTGGATGTCGTTTGGGTGAGTCGGCAGGCTGTGGTATAGTTGCCCTTGTAGTAGGGGGTGCCCGTGGCTTGCCCGTGCTGTGTTTTGTTTGTGTTCGCCGTTTCGCCGCCCTGTTTAGGTGACATGCCTGTTTGCCTCTCCGCTGCCTTCTCGTTGATTTGGGCCTACTCAAGGGTGCCATTTGTCGCTGTGGGTCGGGCGGTAGGTGGCATGGTGGGTGTTTAGAGGTGGGTGGTAGCGGTGTCCCCTGTCTCAGTCTGTGCTCAAGCTTGAGCCAGAAGTTTGCAAATATTTGTTCCAAGCTTGACAAGGGGGCTCGTTGTACTTCATGTCCGCTCGCGGATCGTGTGGTCTCCGCCATCTTGGAAGGGCCTCGCGGCCCTCTTATATGTTCCTCGCTTGTGTGTGCCATAGCTGGGAGGACTCCCAGTAGTGGACCGGGATCACCCCCAGCGGTCCAGGGGGGTTGCGGGGTGCACGTTCACTGCAATCGGCTCCCGAGCCGCTCCAGGTTGAGAGCTCGGCCGCCGCTCCCATCCAGTGCGCACCCGGCCACATGCCTTCGCGGCTATAGCCTGCTGTCTGTCTTCTGCTCACGGGCCGCATTACCGGTTTACCGTGTAGACCGAGGGTCAGTGTGTCGCTTGGGGTCAGTTTGTGCCGTGTCTTGTGGGTCTGAGATGCTTTTTTAGCTATTGTAGCTTAGTTCAGGAGGGAGCTTCAGCTAGGCACGTCTTCCCTCCATGACAGTCAGGCCCCGCCCCCCCTATAAGAATTATAATTTAAACAGAGTGTAGTGTTTTTCTGATTTCTTTCAGATGTAATATGCTTTGAAGTTGTTTTCCAAATATCTCTCAGTTGTATAAATGGCGTCTGCATGGATCAGGCACATGTTAAAGCGGCACTGTCATGCCGAACTTACCTTTCCCCAATCGCTTCCTCTTTTCTCCCTCTCTCAGGATCTGTTCTTCATTTCTTCTCGTCTGCTCTAGCTTTCTTAAAAACATAGGACAAAGTAGGGACTATGTGTCTTATTGAGGTTTCCTACACCTGACCATCTCTGACCAGTGTACTTCATTTCCGCTGGTCAGAGCAATTTTCTCACAATTCTCACCTTTTCTCCATGTTCCCGCGATGCATTCTGTCACCTTTCCCGAACGTCCTGTCACTTAGACAGTATGCCGGCAAAGCTACCGAATTGCGTCCTAGTTATCTACCAGTAGGCTGAAAGACCTAAATTGGTCTTTCAGGCAAATTTACTAATACTAAGTAAAGATTACTTAGTATTAGTAAATGCTGCCCCTACTTGCTATATCGCGAATAGGGGCATGTCTACTAAACAGTGAGCCACCATAGGAATAATGCTTTCCTGAGGGGGAAATACTGATGTGAGCATGGCCATTGCCATGCATGCGCATTAGGTCTCCGGCGCTGGCGGAGCTGAGCCAGTGTCAAGGGACATCAGCGTTGAACTCAGGTTAGTGACAGAAAGGGGGAGGGGAGGGAAGCCTTGACAGTGGCAGAAGCTACAGTGCCAGGAAAACGAGTTTGTTTTCCTGGCACAATAGTTTCCTTTCAAGAGTAATGCTGGGGTCTGACGGACCCCATAAAAGATTCCTTTTTTTTAAGATTAGAAATGGTGTATGGCTGTCAACATGTTTTATTGTTTGCATATGTAACTCTCCACTTCTGCAAGATGTTTTTCACGCTTTGTGCTGTATGGTACAATTTATTTTCGCTGACCTCTGAGTGTAAGTTAAATCTAATATAAATGTTTTACTATGGCAGGTTTTCATGTCAAAGAACAAACATTGATCACAGAAAATGTACTGTATATTAATATGTTTTCAGCAAACCCGCCCCCCCCCCCCAAAAAAAAACACATTTGCTAAAAAGGAAGGGAAATCATAATAGTAGGCAAGCATCTCAGAACGGTTTAAATAATTTTTCTGATCAATCCTGTTTGTTTGGTTTTGTTTTACAGAATCTCTGCGGAATCACAAGCATTCTCTTTTGAAGCAAAATGTTAAAGTTCAAGGGAACATTGGAACTTCCTGCACTTCCTGTGAAATATTTGAAATTCAATACACCGAGCTCTTCATCACCGATGAGGACCAGAATGAAGCTCCAAACCAGCATGAATACTTTACATTAGCCAATCGTCGGGCTCGGATCTATGAGCACAACAAACATAAAAAAATCAAGCTGACTGATCTTATTTCCCCAAACAATCCAGAATGCAGGGAGCCACGCAAGGTGCTGATAACTGGGATAGCTGGCATTGGCAAGAGCTTCGCAGTGAGGAGGATGATGCACGAGTGGGCAATGGGAATGGCTTTCAAAAATGTCTCCTGTGCAATGAATTTTGCATTGCGTGAGCTTAACTTAATAGAAGGTCCAGTCAGCTTTCTTGACTTAGTCACACGAAACCATATTCATCTTCAAGGTGTATTAGAGGAACTGTGTAAGGATCCTACAGACCTATTGGTCATATTAGATGGACTAGATGAATTCAAACACCCAATCAACAAAGGAAAGAAGGTTGATACCATCACTGAACGGGTTCCTATTCAAGATCTGGTATATAGCCTCATCAATGGAACATTACTGTCCAGAGCATTCGTTGTGGTAACTAGCAGGCCCCACACAACCACTTCTTTGGTCATGTTTGACCGAAAAGTGGTTATCCTTGGTTTTGATGAAAAGCATGTGAACAATTTCTGCTTGAGGTTCTTCAGAAACAGCGAACTATCTGAGAAAGTCTACCAGTACATCATGCAGAATGATAACCTTTCCGGTTTGTCATTTATTCCACTCTACTGCTTCATCATCTGCACGGCACTCAAAGGCTTCTTCTCGAACATCTCAGAGCCCTGCTCCACTGGCAAACCACCACAAACTATGACTGAGGTTTATTCCTGCTATCTGTGTACCACCATGCATCATCGCACAAATAAAGAGACATCCAAAACAAATAATACTGAGCAGGAGTCCATTGTACTCTGCACTGAGGCAACTCTTGCAGAAATGAAGGGCATTCTTTGTCAGCTGGGAAAACTGGCCTATTACTCATTATTGAATAATAAAATTCTTTTTTATGGAGAAGACCTCAAAAGATTTGGGTTTGACCCATCCCAATTACCGGATTCATTTATGAATAGAATTTTTGTGCACGTGGAAGGGAAAGGGCCCACCGAAATGTTTTCATTCTTTCACATGACTATACAAGAGTATTTTGCAGCCCTGCACTGTGTGATTTGCATGTCTCCAGACCCTAAGGAACTTATACAATGCTTGGATCTCTGGTGTTTTGGGAATCATCCACAAGAGCCGGTACAAAGTCAGCTCCTGTCTTCATCTATGAAAATTATAACTGCCAAGCAGTGGGAGAATCTGGAAATCTTCTCTAGATTCTTCATGGGAATTCTCTCCAACAGAATTGAAGGGAAATTAAAGGGGCTGGTGGATTGTATGAGTGCTGATATTCTTGGTCCCCTTGCCAAATGGTTTAAAGGAAAAATTAAATATGCAGTCAATCGGAGACTCCTAAATCTTTTACATTGCCTTAGGGAACTTCAGCGAAACACAGTAGTGGAAGAAGTAGCTCCTGACATTGATGAGGTCAACTTGTTCAAGGTTATCCTAAACCCTGCGGACTGTGCTACACTCTGCTACGTGTTGCAACATTCCACCACCAGACTTAAAATCTTAAACCTTGGCTACACGAATATTGGCATGCAAGGGCTTCGAAGGCTACAGCCATTGCTCCATCGATGTCAAACACTCCAGTGAGTATTAAACAGTGAAAAAAGGAACTGTCACTTGGGAGATATTGACACTTTCTATTAGCTAGCTAAAAGTTAACTATTACCTGCCTTTTTGTTTTTCTTTAAACCGGTCGTTTGGTATTTTAAGAATTATTGCAGTTTTCACATATTCCAAAAACGAGATTTCTACATAAGCCCTTCATTTCCATTCTGCAGTGTTTCCGTTTTATGATTTGGGTTTACTGTACATGATGTCATGAGTTACCATTCTAAGAAATTTAATTCAGCACTTCAGCTTTTACAGCAGAGAACTTTTAGAAACCATTGTTTTGCCTTTAAACCTGTGCTTATGACAAATGCTATAGAACGCTATAGAAAGTATAGCATGGATGAGTCACTTCCTGGGGTGGACAGAGGTCATTGAAAACATGCAAAATGTAGAGTTTTGCAGAAAATGCAGAAATGTCTCTTCTTTTTTTTTTTTTTATGTGTATCCTTTTTATTCAATCATTTTCCCACAGAATTTGAATGCATTCTGTATTGCTTTTAAAACAGACAGAGTCTTGGAATGTACCTATAAGTGTACTTATTCATACCTTATCTTACTGCTGTATGATATGCAAAGAAATCCTTGTGTCTGCCAATGAACCTGTGTAGACGGAGATTACTATCTGATTTTTTTCCTCTTTCTACCATGAGTCAGTTCTATATCTTTTTTCAACTTAGAGTACACTGGTCATATAGGGCAGAAAGCTATGTATATTATACTAAGAGGAAAATAGCTTTTTTACAGCACATTACACATCATTGCTTTAGTCTATCCTACCATGGGCGTCCGCAGGAATTTTTCCAGGGGGGGGCATAATTGCAATGACATCCATGCTTGGTACCTTTTTGACAGTGTCATGAAAGGGAAGGGGCATAGCCATTATCACATAAAGCCAGGGTGAATAGCTACTTCCAAGTGCTGTTTCTAAGTGTCTAGTTGGAGATATTCTGGAGATAACCTGGAGGTAATCTGAGGTATTCAGGAGGATAAAGGAAAAAAGTTAAGATTTGTTAGATTTAAATTATTCTCATAATTGGAATGGCAGGCTTAGTTCAGTGTAACAATTGCTATGCATTTGTTTCACGTTCCACTTTTTGGAGGTTTGGTTGTTGTCTAATCTGTAGACAGTTCTCTTTCTTGCGGCAGGAGATTGTATTTTTGAAGTCTGAGATTTGTAAATTATCTGGTGAAGAAACTCAGACTGGAACTGCTGCAAAGCCACTGCCGCAGAGACATGCTAGGAAAGGCAGATGGATTACTGTAGGATCTGGTAGACTTAGAGTTGTGGATAAAAGGCATTTTGCACAGTCTGTTGCTCTTCATAATTCATTTTCTGCACTTTCAGAGTGTAATGGTGTTGTGGAGAGAGGCACTGAGGCTTGTGGTGTTGTGGAGAGAGGCACTGAGGCTTGTGGTGTTGTGGAGAGAGGCACTGAGGCTAGTGGTGTTGTGGAGAGAGGCACTGAGGCTAGTGGTGTTGTGGAGAGAGGCACTGAGGCTAGTGGTGTTGTGGAGAGAGGCACTGAGGCTAGTGGTGTTGTGGAGAGAGGCACTGAGGCTAGTGGTGTTGTGGAGAGAGGCACTGAGGCTAGTGGTGTTGTGGAGACCGCCTTGGAGACTATGGTGAGGCCTAATAGAAAGCAGTTGTTGTTGGGTGATTCCATTATAAGAGGTGTGGAGATGGACAATGGTGGTCTTGTGAGGTGTCTTCCCGGAGCTACTGCTCACAGAGACAGGAGACGTATCTGTAATATTGTTAAGCAAGCAAAGCAGGAAGGGGAATTGGATGTACTTGTCCATCTAGGGACAAATGACTTGGCTTGCAATGAGGTTTCAGAGGTTAAGGAAGTTTTTAGTGTTTTTGCCAATGATATACGGCAGGTTGCTTCCACACTGTCATTCTCTGAAGTTCTGCCTGTGCATAACACTCAGAACGACAGGCGGATGCGTATTAGGGACTTTAATTTGTGGCTTGGTGAATGGTGTCGGGAGCAAGGATTTGGCTTTATTTCTCATGGTAGCTCTGTTTGGAATGGAGATAAGCTGTACAAAAAAGATGGTTTGCATCTTTCTCAAAAGGGAACAAATGTTCTCAGTGAGCAGTTCAGAGGTTTTGCTAGGATGTATTTAAACTAGGAGGGGGGGGCAAAAGGGTGATAAAACATCAATCCAATTGTCCCCCAAAACAAGGACAGAAGGTGCCTGTAGCAAGTGTGTTAAAAAATGATAAGCTTAGAGTCATGTCTACAAATGCTCGCAGTTTAGGGAATAAGATCCATGAACTTGTGGCAATAATGGCAACTGATAGTGTAGATTTAGTCGCTGTTACTGAGACATGGTACAATGAGAAAAATGACTGGGACATAGCAATACCAGGGTACTCTTTATATAGGAAAGATAGGGAAGGCAAGAAAGGGGGAGGGGTGGCCTTGTATGTGAAGGATAGCATAAAATCTAGCCTAATAAAAGTTAGTGAGGCAAACATAGAGTCCGTTTGGGCTACGTTAGAATTTGGTAATCACACAGTAACTCGTGTAGGTGTGATTTATAGGCCCCCAGGACAAATTGAAGAGTTAGATAATCTACTAGTTGAGGAAATAGCTAAAATGACAATGAAGGGGAAGTTATCATCATGGGTGACTTTAATCTTCCTGATGTAAATTGGAAAACAAAATTAGCTACTTGTGCCAGGAGCACACATATTCTAAACTCCCTACTGGGATTGTCTCTAAAACAAGTTGTTGAGGAGCCAACTCGTAAAGAGGCCATACTAGATTTAATGTTAACAAATGGAGATTTGGTATCAGATGTTACTGTAGGTGAAAGTTTAGGATCCAGTGATCATCAGTCAGTGTGGTTTAATATAAGAACAGTGACTGAGTCACACCACACAAAAACAAAAGTTTTAGACTTTAGAAAAACAGACTTTCTAAAATTAGAATATGGGTAGAGGAGTCATTATCAAACTGGAGCAATTTAAATGGAGTCCAAGAAAAATGGGATTATTTAAAAGTTGCACTATTGAAGGCAACAGAAAATTGCATTAGGCTTGTCAGTAAAAGCAAAAAAATCAAGAAACCGCAGCTGGTACTCGCAGATGTAGCCCAAAAATAGTTAAAACAAAAAGTTAGCATTTAGAGATTATAAACCAGAGTGAGGGAGACAAAATGATCTATTAGATTAGGCAGAAAGAGGCTAAGAAAGTTATAAGAGCTTGCAAATCACACACAGAAGAGAAAATAGCACAGTCAGTAAAAAAGGGGGATAAAACATTTTTTAGATACATAAATGAGAAAAGAAAAGTAAAAAAAGGATTAGTTAGATTAAAAACAAAAGAAGGAAGGTATGTAGAAGAGGATAAAGGTCAGGCTGACTGCCTCAATGAATATTTTTGTTCTGTATTTACAGAAGAAAATGAAGGAAAGGGACCTCAGTTGAGAAAAAGGATAAATGAGTCATTTTATTACACGTGAGTTTACAGAGGAAGAGGTTCTATTTCAACTGTCAAAAAGTAAAGACAAAATAAGTCAATGGGACCTGATGGAATACACCCAAAGCGTAAAAAGAGCTTAGTGGTGTACTAGCAAAATACATTAACAGATTTATTTAATCAATCATTGTTAACAGGAGTAGTCCCAGAAGATTGGAAGTTAGCGAGATATTTGTGCCCATTTTACAAAAGAAAGGTAATAGGGAGAGTCCAGGCAACTATAGGCCAGTAAGCACTTACTTCAGTAGTAGAGGAAAGTAGTGGGAAACCATGTTAAGGATAGGATTGATGAACATCTAAAAACACATGGATTTCAAGATCAGGGCAACATGGGTTACTTCAGAGAGATCATACCAAACTAAATGCTTATTGATTTTTTTTGATTGGGTAACCAAAATTATAGATCAGGGTGGTGCAGTAGACATTGCTCACCTAGATTTCAGTAAGGCTTTTGACACTGTTGCACATAGAGGGCTTATCAATAAACTGCAATCTTTAAGTTTGGATTCCAATATTGTTGAATGGGTAAGGCAGTGGCTGAGTGACAGGCAACAGAGGGTTGTAGTTAATGGAATATATATTCGAAGCTTGGACTTGTCACCAGTGGGGTACCTCAGGGATCTGTACTTGGACCCATTCTCTTTAATATTTTTATTAGTGATATTGCAGAAGGTCTTGATGGTAAGGTATGTCTTTTTGCTGATGATACTAAGATATGTAACAGGGTTGATGTTCCAGGAGGGATAAGCCAAATGGCAAATGATTTAGGTAAACTAGAAAAATGGTCAAAATTGTGGCAACTGACATTTAATGTGGATAAGTGCAAGATAATGCATCTTGGGCGTAAAAACCCAAGGGCAGAGTACAGAATATTTGATAGAGTCCTAACCTCAACATCTGAGGAAAGGGATTTAGGGGTGATTATTTCTGATGACTTAAAGGCAGGCAGACAATGTAATAGAGCAGCAGGAAATGCTAGCAGAATACTTGGTTGTATAGGGAGAGGTATTAGCAGTAGAAAGAGGTAAGTGCTCATGCCATTGTACAGAACACTGGTGAGACCTCACTTGGAGTATTGTACTCAGTACTGGAAACCGTATCTTCAGAAGGATATTGATACCTTAGAGAGGGTTCAGAGAAGGGCTACTAAACTGGTTCATGGATAAAACTTACCAGGAAAGGTTAAAGGATCTTAACATGTATAGTTTGGAGGAAAGACGAGACAGGGGGTATATGATAGAAACATTTAAATATATAAAGGGAATCAACACAGTAAAGGTGGAGACTATATTTAAAAGAAGAAAAACTACCACAACAAGAGGACATAGTCTTAAATTAGAGGGACAAAGGTTTAAAAATAATATCAGGAAGTATTACTTTACTGAGAGGGTAGTGGATGCATGGAATAGCCTTCCAGCTGAAGTGGTAGAGGTTAACACAGTAAAAGGAGTTTAAGCATGCGTGGGATAGGCATAAGGCTATCCTA